TGCGTATCATGCACAAAGTCAAGGCGCGCTGGAACGTTTCCACCAAACTTTAAAATCGATGATGAGGGCGTACTGTGTGCAGATGGAGGCTGATTGGGAGGATGGGTTGCCATGGTTGTCGCTGACAGCAAGGGAGGTAGTGCAGGAAAGTACAGGTTTCAGTCCGAACGAGTTGGTTTTCGGTCATACTGTGCGGGGGCCTTTAGCTGCTCTGCAAAATGAGTGGAAGGAGTCTCAACCACCGGAAAATTTGATTGATTATGTCAATGGTTTCAGGCAGCGACTTTACTGTGCTACAGAGTTAGCCAGGGAAAAGTTGACGTTGGCACAGAAGATGAAACGTCTCTATGACCGAAGATCAGAGCGACGTAGTTTTTGTGAGGGCGACCAGGTTTTGGCTTTGTTACCTATGGTTGGTTTACCATTTCAAGCCAAGTTTTTGGGCCCATATACCGTAGTGAAGACGTTGTCAGAGTTAAACTACCTGATTGCCACTCCAGAACGTCAGAAAAACAATCAACTGTGTCATGTAAATCTGTTGAAAGCATATTATGCCAGGGAATCTCAGGAACTGAAGGCACATGGAGATGATGCTCATCCAGTGTGTGTTTGTAACACAGTTTGGTCGGGCAGTAAAGCTGTTTGTGAGGATGATTTACCGAATCATGATTCTGCGTTATTAATTGGTCCGCTAAAAACTCGGAGGTACTTTCAGATTTAAACAGTGTATTGTCTCACTTGTCTGAGCTCCAGCGCACAGAATTAGTGGAGGTTATACAGGGGTATTCCAGTCTGTTTGGAGATGTGCCATCTCGTACACATGTTTTGGAGCATGTCATTGAAATAGTGGGAGATGTAAAGCCGATCAAGCAGCGGTTTTATCGAGTGAGCCAGGAAAAGAAAAAATTTCTGGAGGCTGAAGTTGAATATATGCTGGAAAATGGTATCGCTGAACCGTCATCGTCAAGTTGGGCGTCGCCTTGTTTACTGGTTCCGAAATCAGATAATACCCCTAGGTTTTGTTCTGATTTTAGAAAGGTTAACAGCGTCACTAAGCCAGACTCTTATCCTCTGCCACGAATAGATGACTGTATCGACCAGGTTGGCGCTGCGAAGTTCATCAGCAAATTTGACCTGTTAAAAGGTTATTGGCAGGTCCCTTTGTCTCAAAGAGCACGAGAGATCGCAGCCTTTATCACGCCAACTGGTGCCTTTTGGGTTACGGAATGCACCAGCAACGTTTCAACGTTTAATGAATAAAGTTGTTGGAAATTTGCAAGGCTGTGCAGTGTATTTAGATGATGTGGTGGTTTATTCTGATACTTGGTCTTCTCATGTGCAGCGTGTGAAAGCACTGTTTGAACGCTTGGCTGAGGCACGCCTGACAATAAATTTGGCAAAGTGTGAATTTGCTCGGGCGAAAGTGACATACCTGGGTCGGCAGGTTGGGCAGGGTACAGTGCGTTTGTTACATGCAAAGGTACGGGCAGTTGAGTGTTATCCATCTCCAGCTACGAAAAAAGAGCTTATGAGATTTCTTGGTTTTGGTGGGTTACTACAGAGGGTTCTGTAGAAATTTCTCAACTGTGGTAGCACCATTGACAGATCTTTTGAAGGGTAAGGTGAAATACATCTGGTCTCCTGTCTGTCAGATAGCTTTTGAAAAGGTGAAGGCAATTCTGTGCGATGCTCCTGTTTTGGCTGCTCCTTTCATGGACAAACCATTTAAACTCCAGGTGGATGCTAGTCATGTGGGGGCAGGTGGTGTGCTGGTACAGCAAGATGAGGTTGGAATAGACCGACCTGTGGGTTTCTATTCGAAAAAATTTAACAAACATCAGTTGAATTATTCGGTAATTGAAAAAGAAGCGTTGGCTCTGATTTGGTCCTTACAACACTTTGAGGTGTATGTGGGTTCGGGTCCAGTGATCATTTATACAGATAACAATCCATTAACATTTTTGAACTCACTGCGCTGCCCAAATCAAAGACTTGTTAGGTGGTCTTTGTTTCTCCAGGCATACAACTTGGATATACGTCATGTGAAGGGCAGAGATAACATTGTTGCAGATGCTTTGTCTAGAGCCCCATGTCAGTGATTGTTCTATGATTTTTCATTCTGTTGTCTTGTATCTCACTCTTAAATCGCTTCCAGGTACCAGTTGCAGGGATGAGTAGTGAGACTACGGGATGGAGCATGGTGGAGCAAATACTGTTCAGAAGATTATGTATTAAGTGGATTAGCAGTTGTGTGAGTATAACTGTGAGAAATAATTTAGGACCTATACAGTTAAGGAAAGTTAAAATGTTATAAGTTTATAGTGGTTGTTGGCCAGGGTTCCGGTGGGGACCCTGTCTTTATGGGGGGTGTGACGGCCCAAGGGCTTCTGCCAGTGTGTGTGTGTGTGGGTGTCTCTGTCTGGGTTTTGTTTGCAGGGGGAACTTCCTGGTGGAGTGGAGCTGAGGCAATCAAGCGGATCAGAGGCAGCTGGCCACTGGCTCTGGATTGAATAAAACCCGCCCCTTCCTGATTGTTGCGGGCTGGACTGTTTGTTCTTTCGCTGGTCCCCAGCCCGGCATTCCTCATTGTTGTACTGTATATGATTTGTGTAAATTAACCTGGCTTTTGGTGTGGCCAGCCACATCTTGTTGAACTATATAAAAAGTGATCTGTTATATTGGCCAAACTAGGTGACTGTTATTAATAAACATCGTTTCCTGGTATTCCTCTAAGCGTGGTTTCCTCTTTTTGTTGTGGCCTTTGAGCTGGACCATAACAGGGGGAGGTATAGAGTGGATCAAAAAGTCTGCGGGTCGAGTACCATAGTCAACATGTTTTACGATTTACTAATAACAACTTCATTCTCCAAAAGTGATTATATTGTCAAAATATAAGAATTTAAGCTAGATGGAGATAAAAAGCAACCAATAGAGGCCATTGATACAACTGAAAAAAGACTGTTTGGAGAATGCGGGCATCGATCCCGCTACCTCTCGCATGCTAAGCGAGCGCTCTACCATTTGAGCCAATTCCCCCTATTACTGCAAGCAAGCTTGGGGTTGTGGTGAAACAGAAGAAGACTGGAGAAAGAAAAGGGAAGACTTAAGATTCAACATTCATAACTCTATAACAGATATAGTGTGGATCAAAAAGTCTGCGGGTCGAGTACCATAGTGAACATGTTTTACGATTTACTAATAACAACTTCATTCTCCAAAAGTGATTATATTGTCAAACTCAAAGGGTTACCACCCATTAGTTTTTACGATTATACGAAAAAACATTAACAGTGACGAGTATTGCAGAATTTGGGGGAGGTATAGAGTGGATCAAAAAGTCTGCGGGTCGAGTACCATAGTGAACATGTTTTACGATTTACTAATAACAACTTCATTCTTCAAAAGTGATTATATTGTCAAAATATACAAATTTAAGCTAGATGGAGATAAAAAGCAACCAATAGAGGCCAATGAAAACAGACTGGTTGGAGAATGCGGGCATCGATCCCGATACCTCTCGCATGCTAAGCAAGCGTATTGCAGAATTTGGGGCAGGTATAGAGTGGATCAAAAAGTCTGCGGGTCGAGTCCCATAGTGAACATGTTTCACTATTTACTAATAACAACTTCATTCTCCAAAAGTGATTATTCTGTCAAAATATAAGAATTTAAGCTAGATGGAGATAAAAAGCAACCAATAGAGGCCAATGAAAACAGACTGGTTGGAGAATGCGGGCATCGATCCCGATACCGCTCGCATGCTAAGCGAGCGTATTGCAGAATTTGGGGGAGGTATAGAGTGGATCAAAAAGTCTGCGGGTCGAGTACCATAGTGAACATGTTTTACGATTTACTAATAACAACTTCATTCTTCAAAAGTGATTATATTGTCAAAATATACGAATTTAAGCTAGATGGAGATAAAAAGCAACCAATAGAGGCCAATGAAAACAGACTGGTTGGAGAATGCGGGCATCGATCCCGATACCGCTCGCATGCTAAGCGAGCGTATTGCAGAATTTGGGGCAGGTATAGAGTGGATCAAAAAGTCTGCGGGTCGAGTCCCATAGTGAACATGTTTCACTATTTACTAATAACAACTTCATTCTCCAAAAGTGATTATATTGTCAAACTCAAAGGGTTACCACCCATTAATTTTTACGATTATACGAAAAAACATTAACAGTGACGAGTATTGCAGAATTTGGGGCAGGTATAGAGTGGATCAAAAAGTCTGCGGGTCGAGTAC